GAAAGTACACCCAAAAGGCTCTTGGGCAGGCAGATTGCCAGGTGGCAACCACGGTTGATACTAGTTAATTGTTACTTTTATTACTAGAAGTGATCATGAATATTTATTGGTGGGAGGTCTGTCATACTACCTCTGTCCTTCGTTTGAATATGAATTCATGTGTTTTCTTCTGTGGTACACTTTTCTCACAGGTAAGGAATGAGGAATTTGATTACCTTATTGTGCATGCCCAGTATGACCCAGGTTGTTTAATTAGATTGCCTAATTAATTTATCATCCTAGTGGGAATTAGGGCGTTGACCAAAAATGCTTACTTGGGGATGAGGGTGTTGACCAAAATACTTGCTTGGGTCTTTTTGATAAGAGAAAAGTCTACTACCAATCATCCCTATGTGCTTCCCTTAGATCCCAAGGAAGGAAGATGGCAAATTTCCTCGCCCTCCTGTTGCTTGGGGCTAGGTGAGCCTTTCGCTTTCTCTTAGGGCTTTCTGCTCATGACTAACTGCCTACCACAGACTCCCACATGGCCGACCACAGTTCAAGTCCTGGACCTGGTTGCTTGCTTTCTCACTTTCTCTCTCTCTCTCTCACTCTGTCCCTCTCCAGTCAAATTAAAATAAATAAATAAATAAATACATGAATGGGGGGTCCTTCCATACGTGTTGATATGACTGGCTGAAGAGTAGCGGTTCTCTTTTCCTCCCTGGCTGCTTGAGGATATACCGCCATCATGAATGACACAGTAACTATTCGAACCAGGAAATTCATGACCAACCGACTACTTCAGAGGAAACAAATGGTCATTGATGTCCTGCACCCAGGGAAAGCAACAGTACCTAAGACAGAAATTCGGGGGAACCAGCAGTTAGCGTAATGGCTATGTCGCTGGACTCCCACGTAGTCGACTGTGGTTCGACTCCCGGACTGGGTGGCTTAGAACTCACGCCGGGCGTGTGTGCGTGCATGCCCAAGATCCTGAGAAGAGAATGGAGGAGAAAGGATTGTGGCGTGACCACCCCCCCGGGGGGTGATTTCTCGCTTGCTTTCTGTCTCTATGTCTCTCTCTGTCTGTCTGTCTGGCGAGCGCACACGCCCTATAGCGAAAACCTCTCCAAAAAAAAAAAAAAAGACAGAAATTCGGGAAAAACTAGCAAAGATGTACAAGACCACACCAGATGTCATCTTTGTGTTTGGGTTCAGAACCCATGTTGGTGGTGGTAAGACAACTGCCTTTGGCATGATTTACGATTCTTTGGATTATGTGGAGAAAAATGAACCTGAACATGGACTTGCAAGACATGGCCTGTATGAGAAGAAAAAGACGTCAAGAAAACAGTGAAAGGAACTCAAAAACAGAATGAAGAAAGTCAGGGGGACTGCAAAGGCCAATGTTGGTTCTGGCAAAAAGTTGGAGTAAAGATTCTGCAATGACTATCTGTGGTGATTGTATGGATTTTTCATGAGAGGATTAATAAACTCAAAAATTTGCATACAAAAAATACATGAATGAATAAATACATATAAAAAAGGAAAGGGAATATAGGGGCAGAAGGGGTGATGTGATACAGGTTTATTAGTATTTTAGGATAATACTTCTCAACAGACTCTAGAGAGAGAAATTAATGATAGGTATGTGTATTCTTGATAGTATTGTTTATTTATGTATTTTTAAATTTTTGTAATAAGGGACCAGCAGTTGGCATAATGGCTGTGTTGCTAGACTCCCATGTAGTGGACTGCGGTCCGAGTCCCAGACCCAATGACTTAAACCACGCCGGGCACATATGCGTGCATGCCCAAGATCCCGAGAGGAGAATGCAGGAGAAGGGATTGCTGTGTGGCTATCACCCCAGGGGGTGATTTCTCGCTTTCTGTCTCTCTGTCTCTTTCTTTCTGGCGAGCTCACATGCCCTATAGCAAAAACTCAAAACAAAAACCTTTCCTGGAAATGATCATACATGAAAACTGGACAAGAAAATGGGATCTCTCTCTAAACCTTGGGGTAGTTATTATGCTTGTCTAGCTATGAAAAGTCAATTCAGTAGTGAACTGTCACAGGGGAGTTTGGGATGTGTGGGTGGATGGTAGAAGGTGGAACTTTGTTTCCCATTTAACACTGGCCAGCCAACAGACATCACTATTTGTAAAACTGTTGAAAGTAGAAAAATTAAAATTCCTTTTTGTGGAGGAAATGAAGCCTTCAAATCCAAGAAAAATATACAATAGAAAAATTAAACTTAATCTTCAGAAAACAACATATTTACAGGTTGAAAATACTCTAAAATTTTTTTTTTTATAGATTTTTGCTCTAGGGTGTGTGCACTCATTAGAGAGGCAGAGACAGAGACAGAAACTAAGAAATCACACCCCCTCCCCCAGGGGGGATGGCCATGCTGCAATCCCTTCTCCTTCATTGGGGATCTTGGGCATATAAGCACATGGGCTCGTTATGAGTTTTAAGCCTCCATGTCCAGGACTCGAACCAGGGTTGACTACATGGGAGTCCAGCAATGTAACCATTACATCATCTACTGGTTCCAAGAACTGTATTTCAGCTAATACTTCCTTTGCATTTTAAAAAGTAAGCTGATTTTTTTTTTTTTTTTTTGAGAGAGATTTTTGCTATAGGGCACATGTATCCACTGGAGAAAGAGAAAAGCAAGAAATCACTAGCGGTGGGGGGTGGGGGAGGGAATGGCCACACAGCAATTCCTTCTCTTCCACTCTCGTCTTGGGATTTTGGGCATGCATTCACAGGTGTCAGTGTGAGTTTTAAGCCTCCCGGTCCGGAACTCATACCAAGGCCCACTACATGGGAGTCCAGTGACTCCATGGCCATCTGCTGATCCAGTAAGATTTTTTTTTCTTTTAAATGCAGTCATTAACAAGTACCATTGTGTGTGTTGTAATAAATGCTGGATTGAAGTCTTTAGCAAGACTGAACTAGAACTGATAACATATTAGAGAAGGAGCTGAAGTAGATCTAAGAAAAATAGTAAACCCTAGCCTTCTACTATGCTGCCTAATGTATCTGAACCACAGCTAAACCAGTATTTGTAACTAAACCAAGGACAGACCACAGGATTTAGAAACACATTTTACAGGTGAAAAACCCTGGCTTCAGAAAAGTGCCTGGTGGCACATACTTTTGAAGGACTATTGTGAAATAAAGCTGCTTTTCATACAAATCGCCTCGAGGTGAATGAGGCAAGAACACGTGGCGCTTTTACCGGGTTCACTGGTGTCTTGGACTAATTAGGGCAAAGTATAGCGCTGTGACCTACGTAGAGATGTCTGGTCGCTCGCCAGGGACTGGAACTATTCTAGGTAGTTTTTCCTTTCCAGCTTTTGCTCTCAGATCTGGTGAGGTCCGGAGTGAGAGCCCATCCCTTGTGCTGCAGTGGGAAACTTAACGAGATTAGGCGGAGCCAATGAGCGGGCTAGCGCCTTGGGGGCTGCCATCGCCTGAGATCGCGTGCACCACCCCCCTGCGCTTCCTTCCCACGGTTGGCACTACGGCTGCGAGGCTCGTGTTCACTCTTTAGCCCTTTCCCTGGTCCGTGGCAGTAGTGCAGGTGCCCCGTCCTTTTGGGACCCACAGTCTCGATTCTGGGTTTCTGCTGCGATCAGAGAACTCGCCAAGTCGAAGACCTTCCCAGCAAGACTGTTTTAAATAAAGTTTTCTAAAAACAAGCCGAAAAATAAAAAATAAAAAGGGACCTTTCTAAGTGGCGGAACGGCTGGCCAATGCCTGAAGCGGCTAAGCAGGAAGATCGCGAGCCCTCACGCCAATTGGTTATGCTGGAAGCCTGTCTGGACTGTACCACACTTCCACGGAGGGGGTTTGATGAACTGGAGAAGGTAGCTGCTTGCTTTTGAGCACTTACAGTACACACACATAATCCTTTTGCTTTTGCTTGAATACGGTACGAATAAAAAAAATAGGACGCAGGAAAAGGGAACACTCATCCGGCCATTTCCTCATTCCCTACTCCTGCGCAGTACGCCAGGATACCTTCTAGTCGCCCTCAGAACCCGACGGCCTTGCGCGCGCGCCCTCGCTTTCTGGCGTGCGTACGGCGCTGTGCCCCGCTAGCCAATCAGGGCGCGAGGTCGCCGCGGTCGCCCTGGTTCGCGCGCACGTCCCAGAGCGAAGTGGGAGGGGGCTGAGGGTGAATGGGAGAGTGAGCGGGGGCGGGCACGGCGGGCG